TCCTTTGATAAAGCATTCGTCTTCGTCTCAAAGCTGATCGCATCGCAGAGTCTCGGACCTGGAGGGTCAGAGCTGTTCGAAAACGTAAGAAACATCGTCGGCGCCATGCCACAGGCGAACTAATCTCGATCAAGGTGTCTTGAAAAATGGCAAAGAATGGAGGAGCATCTACAGCGCATTTCTCACCAGATGAACCTCAACCATGACACCGTCGACCCGACCAGCCTCATGGGTAACCCACTTTCTAATACCTAGTCATGGCGCTGCCGTCGGTGACGGGCTCTGTACAGGCTAAGGACAAGCGAGCTGGGTGCCGGACGGGCCAAGGGCTTGCTATGCTGGCCGTGCCGCCTACGATAGCTGGAGTCAGTGACATAGTGCAGAGGGAACGGGCCTAATACAGTAGGCGCCTGCAATCATTCACTAATTCTACCTGTCGCTTTTCTCGGCGCCCAAGTCTGTGCCCTACCTGATCGCAGTCGGCCACGTTTCGTCTACGTTGTCGTCCCTGCCCGCTTCTACTACTGCAATGGGAGAGAGCTTCATGTACGTGGCACGCCGCTTTCTCACCTGCGCATCCAATTCGCATCACTTGCGTGTGTCAGTGATCATCCGTACATTCATGTGCGCACCTAGCAGGCTGTTCATGGCGTCCCGAACCGCGAGCCCCGTCTCATTCGCTCATCATGCGACAGTTAGTCATCGCATGTCGCTCACCTACAAGATACACTTAGTACCAGTTCAGCCCGCGAATAAGGCAGCTTTCGTCCCAGTGCCCCATTCTGGACCCAGGCTGCGTCACAACGACATGCCCAATTCTGGATACAGCAGCAACCGCAAGCAACTGCGGGTATATAAGCTTCGGTGGCTTGCTTTGAAGACAAAGCGGCTCGCGGTACTCGTCTTCGCTATGAAGGGTCTGCGTCTAAAGAACCGCCTCTCTCGTTGCGCCAAGGACCGTCCGCCATCGCTCGGCCCCGTAGACTTTGAGATACGTGCACTTGGCGGGGGTACGACGAGCACCTTGCTCTTCCACGAGCTGCCTCCGAAAGGAGCAACAACTCATCAGAGCCGTATAAGGGAGTTGCACGAGGAAATCAGGTGCCTGAGCAACGAGGTGGCCTACTACAAGGCTCTCACGGACGAGGCGCTGTCGCGGATCCTGCCCGTTGTTCAATTC